ATATTGTTTGTTGCAGAATGATATTTCATCATCTTTTTTTGTACAGCTGGCTAAGACCATCAACTTACTCCACTTGAGAATTTGGTATAGTCACAGGTGGCTGCTTAAATTCGAACCCAGGATTTGTGAGGTACCCCAGCACAGCGCCCTCACCTCTGAGCTAGAGTCGCAAATCGAGTTGGAACGAGGTCGTTTTCACGGCTTGCCATTCGGGTGCAGGTCAGGTCATGCCGTGAGCTATAACGCGATGAAGATGCCCCGATGCAGGACCCGACTCTGAGCCTCCCGATTACCTCAGAGTGGTACTCGTGGCCTGGCTTCATCCCTGATTTGAATTTAAATTTCTCACTTTCCCAGTGCGAATGAATTTGCTGTGACCACTGCTTCAGTGCAAATGTAGGAACCCAGAAACTCTCAAACCGCACATCTTTATGAAACAGCCAATAGACTTTGCCCCGACGATATCCCATGTTGTTGCTATTCTATCCCTGCGTATGATGGCAATATGTTCGGGAGACAGATGCTCATGTCGAGGTCTGCTCGCCACGAGATGACTTTAGATGAGGTCTTCAGGAGAGAGTTCGTGTAGTTTTTGCTATTCCTGCGCCGTTGAAGGAGTACAGACTACAGTTACTAGTGAAGACATTGGCACAATCTACCAACAAAAAACATAAAAGGAATGCTTGACGTCCAGTGTACTTATCCCATGGTGTTTATTGATGCAAATGGTGCTGCTCCAATACGGATAATGGTGTAAGGAATGCTTATACTAATACAGTTTATTATCCTGGAAAGACTCTATGGAGTCCAAAACATTTTTTAGCCTCAACATATTAATACAGTACTGGGCATGCCACAGACTGGTGACGTACAGCACACGTCTGAATAAACAACACGGTGAGCCGTTCATCGCCACCCCGCTGATTTCTAATGCACCTCGTATTTTTTTCCCCTCAACTGGTGATTGCATGTGGTAAAAGAGATGGGTTTTCATATCTTCAAGAGGAGAGCCTTTGAAATAAAGCATGTCTTCCCCATATTCTTGGTTCTTTCGGTAAAGTCACGTAGAAGGGAAATAATATTTTTTATTATTTTCCTTCTACGTGACTTTACCGAAAGAACCAAGAATATGAATCCCTGCAGTCACGAAAGCTTTAAATCGAAATGTCTTCCCCAATTATCCTCGTGGGGTTTTACCTCTGCACAGATTTTATGGAGGTATGAAGCAATAAGGCTGGTGTGCTCATGCGATTAAAAAAACACATTTCGTGATGGACACCAATGTGTACGCCAATCGTGAAAAATGCCCAATTGCGTGTAACGGACGGCAAACGTGCAGTGACACGACCGCGTTCCTTCACGCAGCGCGTGCGCGCAATTTACAACCCTTCCTTCCTTCCCAACGCCGATGTCAATCCACAGTCAAGGGAGAAGCCTTCACACTGTACAGGATGAATGCGAATATTCTCTGAATTACGAGCCAATACGGAAAGACTCACATCCCCCCACAACATGTCACAAATCTGGTCGGATGGGGGGGGGGGGGTGTGGATGGGGGGGGTATTTTGTGCCATCAAACACTCCACCCTCACAACTCCCAATTGGTGATGGGGCAGTTGTAGAGAGATTGGAGAGTTTTCCATACCTGGGCAGTGTGCTCATGACCATCTCCGGTTTGACAGCAGAGGTCTCACTCCGAATCAGTGGAGCGGCATTATCTTTTCAATGGCTGCGTAACGCTGTGTGGAAACTACCTGGTCGGTCGCTCTGCACGAAGCTTCAGGTCTTCTCGGCCACGGTCATGCCCTGCCTTCTCCACGCTTGCAAAACGTGGACCCCCCCCCCCCCTAATGGAACATCTTCGCCCGTTAGAAACATTTAGGCTGGCCTATCTACGATCCATCCTGGGTGTAACCAGGCTGGATTGTGTGAGGAGCTCACAAATCATTAAAAGATCTGGACAAAGTCCCATCGGTGAGCTCCGGCAGGCAAGGCTGCGTTGGCTGAGTCATGTAGCCTGCATGCCCAGTCACCGCATGCCCAGCCACCGCATGCCCAGCCACCGCATGCCCAGCCACCGCATGTCCAGCCACCGCATGCCCAGCCACCGCATGCCTAAACAGATTTTGTTAGGCCTGATAGAGTGGACTTGCCGATGACCGGTACCAGCGGTGTCAAGATCGGCCTCTGTGGAGGAGGCTCGTGAAGGACGCTGCTGGGCAGTTGGAGGAAATTTCCCTCCAGCAACAACTGAGGGCGGAGGAGCGACGCTCACAACAACGAGCGGAGCGCCAGGTGGCTAAAATACAGCAAGCTGGCACAGTAGAGGGCACAGGTGGTGCATCGGCCAGTCATCTCAGTTGACCCATGGCACCTGGGTCTGTCCCAGGACCTCCTGCCAGCGGACGTTCGACACTTCACGTGGCCTTAACATGCACGTAGCCTGGCACAAGCGCCATGGTGACGTTACTGCCACTTAGTGGCGAATAGTGGTTGTTGTTGTTGGTGTGTGGGTGGGTGTAGAGGTGTTTGGGTGCATGTGGGTGTTGAGTGGGGTGTGGCTGGTGAGTGGGGTATGTGTGTGGGTGGCGGGGTGCGTAATAACCCAGAGAGAGCGTTCTCGGTCTAGAAACCCTCCGCCACATTCCGGAATTCCGCGCTGCGATGCGAACACCGCGCACGGCAGTAGCAGCAGCAGCACGATGGAGCCCGAGGGAGCTCGAGGGAGCGTCATCACCCCCGGAGCGGAGTACAGTGCGGTGCAGACAGAACCCGACAGGAAAAGCCATCATTACCAACACAATTCTATAGATGCCGTTCGCTGCATTTGCACGCCTCAGCCATCCCTCCGAAAGGCGTGTTGGGGAAGGCCCTCCGTGTAGCGGTGCACTGACAAAACAAGCTGTTGCGTGTACGTTGGTCGGTGTAGTTGGCCGTGTTAACTTTTTTTGTTTATTATCAGATGCTGACTCTGCAAGTGCGGAGCAGGCAGGGCCCGGCAGGAAAAGCGAATCATTCCTGACACAATGCTTATCGCATTCCGTGGCCATTTCACTTCACTCGGTAGCAAACGCAGAGGGCCAAATCACACTAAACGTGTCGAATGCACACCCTTCGAAAATGGATTTGCCCCCGCCACTGTTTCTACGGTCAAATTAAAGTGCTTCACGTCTTGAATTTCACACGCGGCACGATGTTGGTGCCACGGAGCTCTCGGACGTGATTCTGGGTTGCACCTCCCGGCGTTGTGCTACCTGAGAACACATTCCTCGAGCCACGTCTTGTTAACGGACGTGTCTACACTCCTTCGGCACTGTAGCAGAGCAAACTTGATTTGAAGCTTTCGTGACTGCAGGAATTACTCTTTGGTTCTTTCGGTAAAGTCACGTAGAAAGAAGATAAATTTAATAATGGAGTACGACGTTTCGATTGCGACACGAGCAACCATCGTCAGGTACAGCTAAATTTGAGAGAGAGACAAAACACAGACACGGGGACACACAGACACACAAGCAGAGAGAGACAACACAGACACACAGAGAGAGACACACTGTGTGTCTATGTTATGCGTCTCTCTCTGTGTCTCTGTGTTGTCTCTCTCTGCTTGTGTGTGTCTGTGTGTGTCTGTGTTTTGTCTCTCTCTCAAATTTAGCTTTCCCTGATAAAAGTTGCTTCTGTTGCAATCGAAACGTCGTACTCTATTATTTAATTTATTTTCTTTCTACGTGACTTTACCGAAAGAACCAAAGAGTAGCAGAGTATTTGACTTGCAAGTTCAGAGCACGGGCATGGGTCGGCACGACCTGTCATTCCCTCTAGGGCAATGATTTGAGTTACAGTACCCACTTCATGGTGAGTCAGCGTTGCTTATCCTACAGGGAGAGAGGGAGGCTTATGCCAGCCATAGGAATTTAGAATTTCCACCACTGTTTCGATGCTTGGTGGCTCGGCAGGTCGCGCATGATGCGCTAGCAGTGCGGGTACTCCCACCTCTTCCGAGATATGTGGTCATTGTGGAAGAATAGGTCAGAAATCGTTCTCTAGAGCTCGTCGTAGCAGCGGAGGCAATGCCACCGGCAGTTCCGCGAGCAAGCAAGTGCAGGGCTGCACCTTTACTTTCAGGGCCCCATGAGATCATAGATGTTGTATGTATGTTGAACTTCTGTGTATGGATGTAGAGCCTTTTTCGCACCGCACATAACCAACCGTGCTTAGCGGAGTTGCTGGGGAAGGACAGCAAACTAAACTCAAAAGGCAGTTCTAAAGAAATTAGTTTTCAAGCTAGATGATGATTTTAAAGTGCGTAGCTCTAGTGGCTTCCTAATCTGGGAAGGAAGAGCGTTCCAGACGGCTGCAGAAGCGCATCTGAAAGCGTGTGATGCGGTGACCATATTTGTTCGATTGTTCACCAAAAGCCGCTGCGAGGATGACCGGATGGTTTTTTCTTTGAGACGAGGTCAGCATGTTATTGTGGTTAATTTGTGGCAAGCACTTTGTGTGTATAAGTGTGACCTTTAAGAGATAAGCACACCACATCGACACTCATTTGAACGTGGAAACACGCTGACCCTGGGTGCTTCGTATGAATTCGCTGACACATTTGTGCTGCTCTATGTCTACACAAAAACACATGTTGCACATAATACAAATTCATCATTCGCGTCGTTGTGGAGAAGAGAAGTATAAAAGTAAAAAAACCGACTCCTACAGTATGTGGCATCGAACTGGGACCCGTGTCTAACAGAGAGGGTCCTTGCCGATAAACATCTGGCATTCACCAGCATTACTTCAAGCAAGCCTGACTCTGCTGACGAGACACTAAATGTTGAAACCGGACCAGAGTTATGCTTGTATTGGACCAACGCGGCTAAAATTACGCACCCCCGCAAGGCCGTGTGGCCGATGTCACGTGTAAGCACACGCATCAGCTTATTTACTTTTGTTAACAACATCAATAAACAACTTGTGATCGGCACGGTTGTCATCCTTGTTTTCCACAGCCGATGGCCCAGTGGCTGAGGCTGCGTCCTGCCGACGCCGACAAGTTTCCCGAGAGCTGCTGGAAGCTGCTCTTCTACCTGGCCATCTGGCTGTACGCGGCACACCTGCTCGTCAAGGAGGAGTACCCCTTCTACCACAACCCAGCGGCCGTCTTCTACGGTGAGTGACCGCGACGCAGGACGACGATGCGCCCACCACCACCACCACTCACGGCATCGTGCACTGGCGGAGCCAGTGGGGTGGGGTGGCACGTGCCCCCGCAATGATCCGATCAAAATCCCTAATTTCGCCCGGCCGCCTTTGTCTCCCAAGTGGCGATGTTCACACACCACACCAGTTACTCGTTTGAGGCTGAGTCGACCTAGGAGAGGCCCAGGACCAGTTCAAATAATCGTCACCGGTGGTAGCCGTGAGCGGGAATTGAACTCGGGTCGCCGGGTTCGTAGTGCAGCGCGCGAATCGCTACACAGTCGTTGCCCCCCCCCCACACACACAGGATAAAGACAAAGATCCCCTGTGTAGTCTGTGAGACTGTAGGGGGCAAGTGCTGTTAGCAAGCATCTATGAAGGCCGGCACGGCACACGAGGGGGTGGGTGGCCAGCACCACGCCCGGCCGCCTTTGTCTCCCCAGTGGCGATGTTCACAGCACCACACCACTTACTCGACCCGAACTCGGGTCGCCGGGTTCGTAGCGCAGTGCGCTAACCACTACACTACCGCTCCCCCCACACACACGCGCACGTCCATAGGTACACATACACGCGCTTGCTGCAGACATACAAATTTCAGGGTGCGTACGGCAGTAAACGACTCAAATAATAAAGCAATGCTGCGCGTAGAACGCCTTAGACCTGCAACACATTTGTACTTCCGCACACGGGGTACATAACAGATGTGACGTCACAGCTCACTTGCCGTGCAAAATATATGCATTATTGCGCCCCCCCCCCCCCTCCAAAAAAAATACAAAAGTCTATTTTTATAATTTTTGCATGGTGTACAGTTTGGAAAGTACCCACATGGCAAATTTGTTGCATGTCAGGAAGTACGCTCTAAACATTTTGAACAGACACACATATTCACAAATTCCCCTTTTATGTATATAGATAAATCGGTATTTTGCGGCCCCCACTGCCACTGTAGCATATTATTGTGTGCCAGGGACTCTATGAATGATAGGACAATAGTCTGAGTCCATAATTGGCAATAAGTAACGGCAAAGCGGTTATAAGTGACTCACAGAATTGTGCGCAGTTGCAGTATACAGTACACGACTTCCCTGAAGGCATCAACACCTTCAGCGAGCGCGATGCCGATCACACAACGCGGTTCGAATCGGACCCTCGATCGATGACTGCGCCATCGCCGCACACGCGTCGAATAAAAAGCAAGGGACAAGTCCTTACCTACTAACCCAGCTCACGCTGGCAGGTGCGAGTTGGTGAAAGCTGGGGAGCGTAGATGTGGAACGCAGAGGTACAGTCCAACAATAGGTTCTTGTTGCTGCACTGCACTGTGGATTGTCGACACGTGGCCCTGCTACCTGTAGCACCTGTTATGCACGGCGGTCATCCGTGTAAGCGCTGTTGGGGCTAAAACCTTTTGGGATCTGATGCGATCAGAGATTCTGAAATTATTCTGAAATTATTGGTCATTGGGAATAATTATAGTGAAGTGCTTGATCCAGCTAAGACTCTCTGAGTGGAAATAATTTTTCCGAGGATAGTTCGCTCATGACGTATACGTTGAATGTGTCTCTTAGAGTTAATGATTTACAATTTATACAAATTATACTCTGATGTAACTTGAGGCTGATATAATAAACAAAACGGGACAAATCAGATGCCCGGCGCAAATGAGACGGTTCCAACGAGTAAAATAAGATAAAAAAAACAATGTATGTATGTAGAACTTCTTTCGCACCGTACATAGCCAACCGTGCTACTCTGAGGTGCGGGGGAAGGACAAGAAACTAAACACAAATCATGTAGCCGAATGGTGACAATTCATTAAATCTCTGGGAGTAGAGGGGTTAACCATCACATGCCTGTTGTCGCTTGTGGTGGTGGGGCAAAGCCACCACCCTCCACCCCTCCTGGGGAGTGGTGGTGTAGCGGTTAGCGCACTGCGCTAAAAACCCGGCAACCCGAAGTTCGATTGCCACTCTCGGTCGACACCAGTGACAAATATCTGCACCATGCCGGGGCTTCTCCTAGGTCGACTCGCCTCAAATAAGTACCTGGTGCGGTATTTAAACATCACTACCGGGGAGACAAAGGCAGTCGGGCGTGGATGCTGGCCATCCATTCCCTCGTGTGCCATGCCGGCCCGACACAGGTGCTTGCCAACAGCACTTGCCCCCATAGTCTGTGAAAGGCCACACGGGGGATCTTTGTCTTTGGCTCTGCACAGCGCCAACCCAGGGGCACAATAATATTCCTATCACATCATTCATCGTTGAGTGCATTCGATTAACAAAAAAAAATGCTCATACAAATTGACTTCTCTGGCCTGGCTCTGCTTGAGCGTGGAGCGTTGTGCTGTTCTGCAGAGATATGCTCGGCAATAACCGACGATCTAGAAATGAATTCGAGCGTGGAGCTTTGCCAAAAGGAAGGGAGGGAGATGTGGGAGGGGTTTGCGGTGGTGCGGTGGAGTGGGGTGAAGGCAGCGAGAGAGGAGAGGTGGGGGCTGGGTAGTGGCAACACCAACATTTCCATGGAGATGGAATGCTCTCCAGCTTATTGCTAACAGCTGTTTGTCCTCATAATGTCCTGCATTTTCTTTGCGTATCATGTCCGACCATGGAAGCAAGTCCTAACGCCATTTGTTGTATAAGTCCAGCTCTATATTATACTCCCTAGTTTTTAACAAGACGCAAAAGGTGTGTTCACAAACAGCAGTGTGGTGTGACTCCCATCATGCCTTGCTTAGATGTCACGTGACCAACACACTTAATGTGCCTTGTTAAGACCACCAACACAAAATAACTCCGAATTGTTCTGGAGTTTGGAAAGGGATTATTTTATGTTGTTCATTCAAAATTAAATGTATATGTCTCCCTGAGCAAATGGAAATTGGGGCATTACTCTTTTTCATTGGCAGCTCTTAGGAAGTGAAGGAAATTCCACGTTTTTCTCACTTGGACCACTCTCTGCAGGATGACAGCTGTTGAATTTTGCACACTGAGAGTGGTATCTATTTTATCGACCTCGGTGGGACGAGAGGCTGAGTGAATCTTCCAAACCCAGTTTGTGAACTCGCAGCTAGTTAAGAATCAAGCGATCTAGTGGAGGGGGGGGGGAAGTGCATATGGTGGTAATCACGTGTGTGCCTCTTGAGTGACAGATGAAACGCAAAGACATAATAATAACCATCCGTCCTGAAGTATGCACGGGTAGGTAGGCATTTATGCCCCTTTAAAACCCTCATGCGTTTCTTTGTTTCTGTGTACCGTGGCGCTGACGGGTTGTGCAATTTGCCCGTGGGCACTGACATGGCTCTCCGATGGGTTTTTGGGGGTTTATTTTTTATTACACTATTCCCTCGTTATTCACTAGGGATACGTTCCGGAGATGCTCGTGAACATCAAATTTCGCGGTTAATGATATTGGCCTACGAATATCGTATGCGGAAGGTCTGCAGATGCTTCTAAAGCTTACAGAAGTTATCTCTCTCTCTGTCTCTAATCTCTTCATCTCATCACTTTATCTCATCGCTTTCTCGCGTCATGTTGTCTCTCATCGCTTAATCTCATCAGTCTCATTTTCTCTCTTGATGCAATTCGCGGACAGCCCAAACCGTGGATAGCAAGTTCGTTAATAACTAGGGAATACTGTACACTTGTTTACCCACGAAAGCCTCGCCGAGTCTCATGACTCTCTTTCACGAGGGTCCTGCTAAGCTTTCACAGTAACGGGCGATGATTTCAAAGTATCATCCTCAGTTGAGTACGGTAATTTGCGGGTAATTTTTTCAGACTTGGACAATGACGTCGGCACACAATGGCCTACACTTGGGAACGACATCACACGATCTGTAACGTCCACTTTGAAGCAGACGGCACATGGTATTTTCATGGACAATACACCTGCAGTATTAACCAGGGCGGCCGCTGGAGGTGAACCATGAACCTCTGCGAACGTGCTCCCGCCCGGCTATGTCACTAGGTTGTGAGCCTTCGGTTGCAATCTCTGAGTAACGAAAACACGGAAATTTCCCAGGACTGCTATTTCAAAAAGAGGATGATACTGGGAAAACCAGGACAGGTTGCAACCTTAGTTGTATAGCTGTACTGTGTATCAGACTTCATGCCAAACAACGTACGGTACAAGGTGAAAACGCAGCCAAGAACTGTACATCACCAACCGCGTAAACCCAACAGTGCAAACGTGGCTGTACGCATTTGTCCCGTACATTTCTCTACGGCGCAGGGGTTCTGGTGGTGTTGTTGTTTTATTGGGCGCGCCTCCTGCAAGGAGGGAAGCTGTGGGGACTTGGAGAGCCACCAGTGAAGTGGAGGCTGAGAGCTGTCCTGTGTGGGCGGGCGGGCGGGTGGCACACGACGAACACGAGACGTGCCAAGCGGAGGGGCTCCGGCGCTGCCCTTGAGTTTGAGAGCAGCCGCCGATAATGGTTGTGTCCCTGGCATTTTATTCAAAAGTGGACTTGGACAACATAGCAACTGTTGAACTCGAATATGAATAACACCGATTATGTATTTGCTCAATAATTTCACTCCGGGCTGGTGGAGCTGGTAGAGTGAGCGGCTCACGGTAGGAAGGTTAGACGAGTTCAAAATCCAGTCGAGGGCTAGCGCGACCTTTCATTGTTTTTCGGTCAATAAAATGGATACCAGTGTGTGGAAAGTCAACAGTGGCTGCCTTTCATTGAAAAAGGCCCCCCTGCCCTTGAAATGTGGAATGGTGTACACATGTATGTTGAACTTCTTTCGCACCATACTTAGCCAACTGTGCTAATTATCACCACTGGCTCAGGACTGCCGATGGAAATGACGACGCTTCGTTTTTCCCTTGAGCGGGGTGGCGCTTTGTGACTCACCGAAGCCTCGCTGAGTCTCAAGTCTTTTTCAAGAGGGCCCTGCTTAGAGTTGTTTGGCGAGTTCCTTTCGGCTATTTCTGGATGTGGGAGGAAACTGGAGTGCCTCCAAACACTCCTGAATACGAGGGCAGAACACTAAAACACTCCACGCCAATATGTCAACAAGCTACTCGGTTTCCTGTTAATTACAGACACAACTGCTGCCGCTGGCAAAGTGGGTTTTTCTCTCACACACACGATCTCATCATAAAACGATCCACCATCCTCACCTCCAAGTTGCCGGATCATGTACATGCGCAGTTATTTTCATGCAGTCGCCAGCGACCGGTCCGCGGCTAATTCCTCTTATTAGAGCCGAGAAATACGGTTCAACCTTCGGGATTGAGACCCAGAGCCCTCGGCTGTGTTGGTCTGGGAGGATCCGGCGCCATTGTAGCATTCGGGTTCCCGAGACGCACACCTGTGCAACTTCACGAAATGTTCCTTCTGCAGGCTGGAAGCGCGGAATCGAGGTCCCGACGGACATCTACTTGGCGTACGTGGCGCAGGCCAGCTTCTACGCTCACTCCATATACGGCACGCTGTACATGGATGCGTGGCGCAAGGACTCGCCAGTAATGCTGCTGCACCACGTCATCACGCTCTCCCTGCTCATCTCCTCCTACGCCTTCCGGTCAGTCCCGCGCACGCACTTTGCACGATGATCTTGGAGAGCAGGAGCGCGGATTGATCGAAGGAAATGTACACTAAATAAAATGATAAACGCCGCGAGGGTTTTTCACATTGGGCTTTTGTTTTCGTCTTTCGCCCCCCGAATGTATTCCGATTGCGCTGTCATCGTTGTGTCGTGAGATGGAAGTTTCCGTTCGGAACTCTAGTGGTGCAAGTGCGTCAGTTGTGTATGTGTGTGTGTAAAGAGAAAGGCCTCCGTTCAGTCCCCAGCTCATGGATAACATCAGTATTGTCTTAACCTGCCCTGTGCCTTCCCTAGGTTTACTTAGCCATAAAATCATAAGTGAACACCTTGTCTGAAATGTAAACATCATCGGCCGGAGAGGCAGAGTTGTTTAGGCGTGGTGTTACCCACACCAGATGCTCATGCAATTTGCCTTAGTAGTAGGTTGCCCCCAATGGTCATGGCACTTATGCCAGTTGTACCACTACTACTTCTGTTGTGCTCAATCAGCAAATAGTTGTAGTTGCCTTCACCCCCGCCGCTCACTCGCAGCAATCCACGTCTCCGGAGCAGAGTGGCCGGTATTGATGTGACACGGTCGGGTGTGACGCGTCCAGGTTTGACGTGGCTGGGTGTGATGCTGTGGGCTGTGACGCTGTGGGTGTGAAGCAGCGGAGTGTGACACGGTCAGGTGTGACGAATGCTGGATGTGACATGGCACGGTGTGATGATGCCAACCGACTTGACCCTTCCGATCGACAATCGGTCTCACTCCACAAGTCGATAGTCTCAGCCCGACCACCAATGAATGCACGACAAATCATCATCATCATAAATTCGGCTCCCCGTTTAATTTGGCAAAATTGTCGGTGACGCGTAAGGCGGCATGAGCCAGGGGCGTCCTCTGGCATGTGTCTGACGTGGCCGAACGGCGATAATCACCTCTCGCCGATCACGGGGACAGATTTTTGTTACAATGGTTATCTCGGGCCAAATGGGAGATGGTCGTCTCTGGCTTTGTGTGCGTGCGCGGTCGTCTGCAGCTACCACAACGTGGGCATGCTGGCCCTCTTCCTGCACGACGTGACCGACATCCAGCTGGAGTTCACCAAGCTCAACGTCTATCTCAAGACTCGCAACAACACCTACCACAGGCTCAACAACATCCTCTCCAACATCGGCTGCATCACCTTCGCCGTGTCCTGGTCAGATGCTCGATGTCACCCACAGCCGCCATATTCACGACTGTCGCTCATGACCCGCTGCTGTTTTTACGATGTGTTTAGTTTGTTGTCCTTCTCCTGTACATCCGATTAGCACGGTTGGTGCGGAAGAAGTTCAACATACATGCATTGGCGACTATGATTTGACAACTGCGAATTTGCGAGTATAATGTATCCCTTTATGTGTACGGTTATTAACGATTGGTGCGATTTGTTTCGATATGTATATTTCTTCAAATTTACTTATGATTGTTTAATTAATATATCTATATGTAACTTCCTCTGTGATTTTCCACCATTGCTGACCCAGCATGGTCTGGGATACCTGTGAAACAGAGCTTCATAGCTCATTGGGTTCTTCCAGCTGAATTCAAATGTCTATAGAAGGTTCATGACGCCTTTATTTGTGGCCTATCCTGCACTACAATTTCAGAGGCACACACTCTCAGCACTATTTAAATCACTATCTTTTTTTTGTTGGTTTTCAATATAAAAGGAAAGCTAAATGTCTCTCAGCTCGAACGACGGTTGGGCAATGCTCATCTTCTTTGGCGGTCATGACTCTGTGGTGAATATTCCACATTCCTCTGACAAGGGGCTGGTCTATCCATAGGCATTGTGGCAAAATAGTGTTTGTCTCATAATCAGAAGGTTTTTGTAATCAGAAGGTTGTGAGTTCAAATTCCAGGCAGGACCGACTTCGCCCATTATCCCTCCAGGGCCAATAAATGAGTGCGGAGGCTTTCATCCAACAGTCGTATAACAAAGTGCTGAACGGTACTTACTATATAGATTGGTGAATAATAGCATATTTTATGTTAATTGCATCACAATTATGGTATCATTTATGTCACGAGGCAGAGTTAACCTCCTTCCGGAACTCATTCAGTCATAATAATGCCACATGATCTCACCGAATATGACCTTAAAAGATGCCACTGACAACTGCCCATACTTCTGTGGTCACCTCAGTATGCCTACCTTGTTTAACATGAGATGGCTTTCCTTCCTGGTGATGAAACGGAGTGGTTTTGCCGCATGTCATGAATCCAATGTTCTTTATAAATTGCAGCCCATGGAGTTAAGCTCAGCTGGGCCAAACTAATAGAAGAAACCCCACTCCAACTTTATTTGATTTTCATTTTCTGTCTTGATGGATGTTCAGGCTGGATACCTCGAACTGCCTGCACTTGATATATGGGTTTAGTAACACGTTTGCTGCCTGGATTCGAATCTGTAAAATCAGTGAAGCCAACTCTGTAGTTTTGACATGGTCACTTTGAATTTCCTGAGCCACTCTTAGCCTTAAAATTCTAATACAGTAAAACCTTGGTGGATTGCGAGTAACTTGGTCTGCTTGTGTTTTGCGAGACGAGCAAAATGTTTAAATCAATATCACTTTGATAAACGAGCGAGGTCTTGCAATACGAGTAGTACGTGTATACGCTTTGTCTGCCGAGCGTCACGTGATCACAACTGATGTACGAGTGCTTTGGATTACAAACACGTTTCTGGAACGAATTATGCTCGCAATCCAAGGTTTTACTGTATCGTGTGCATCAATGCTAAAAGCAAACACCACCAATATCGGTATAAACATTTCATTTGTTCAAGGTCTCTTTAGCTCTGTTTTCACTCCACATATTTAGCCCCGTGTCATTCCACTCAGTTGCAATGCAACTTGGTTGTTCACAGATATAATCCAAAGGAAGCTATTCTTTGACAAAGTGGCAGGGAGGTTTATGTGAACTCGTGGACACGTTCATTAAAAAACATTACTCTCCCTGTTGGCCAATGTTCCTGTTCCAAACTCTATCCTCTTGTGAAAACAACAGTGGAAATTGACATAGAGCCCGTGTTTTGCTATATTGCTAGGCATTGTGTACGTGTGTGTGTGTGTTTAAGAGGTTGCTAAGTCCATAATGAAGGCTATGGTGGGTGAATCACACACGATTGTGAAACTCACAAATCCATTAGGCTGTGGGGTGGGCAGGATATGGAAGTACAGCGAGTCCATAGAATCAATTTTTACGTGCGGGATTTATCCGAGTATGAGTACGATGCTTCCTGCCCACGTGCCAGAGGCTCATTCATGAACTTCAATCAATCAATGTTTATTTTTCGATTTAAAGCTTTCGTGACTGCAGGGATTCATCTTCTTGGTTCTTTCGGTAAAGTCACGTAGAATGGAAATAATAAAATAAAACATTATAAAATTATTCTCACGACGTTTCGGCCACAACGCAAGCAGACGTCCTCAGGTGAAGACCAGGTCTGTCGGGGAGACAGCGTCATTCATTCAGACGCTGTCATTCATTCAGACGCTGTCTCCCCGACAGACCTGGTCTTCACCTGAGGACGGCTGCTTGCGTTGTGGCCGAAACGTCGTGAGAATTATTTTATTATGTTTTATTTTATTATTTCCATTCTACGTGACTTTACCGAAAGAACCAAGAAGACAATGTTTATTTGTTACACATGTAAGTCCCATCCAGCCACAGTTACCCAGCTAGTTTGCAAGGGAGATCTGTGGTGCATTAACGTAGGACCCTCTCAACGAGAGTGTTGAAACTCAGCGAGGCTTTTGTAGATACACAAAGAGCATCAATATTGTAACAAGTGATTGTCCTGTGGAGATACTGCCCCCCCCCGCCCCCTCCATAGGAATGTGGAATTTACATGACCGATTCAGGGGCTGCCAACAAATACAATTACTTCCTCATTGGTCGTTGGAGCAGGCTTATATATTTTTCTTAAACACTGAAAAACAAAAGCGAAAGTCATTTCTCTTTTGTGCACAAAAGGGGTTGGAAGCTTCATTTTTTGCTTATTTAAACTGTGTTCAAAATTGTACACGGAAACTCACGAATAAACGGGCGCGTGCGCATGCAGACAGACGCTCGGAAACACAAAGACAATGCTGCTGCCAATTCGCTGCCAGAGAGATAAAAAAAATGTCCCTGGCACTCTCCCAAGGTGAACAAACGTGCTCTGATGCACAAATATGAATGCGGCTGCTTATTTACCCGAAGCCCACACTGGTTTCTTTGGTATTTTTTTCATTCCGTTAAGCCGCATGTTTGCAGTAAACTAACCTCGAGCAACCTTCGGTTACAGATGGGCGATCAGATTGCACCATATTTAATGTCGAAATCGGCTGCTGTAACTTTTCCAAGGTAGGGGGGTTGATTGCACATTGGTCGTGGGTGTTGCGACAGAGGGAAGGAAATGATAACGAGGTGAGGTGAAATTAACCACATCGGGAGTGGTGGATTTCATATTGATCCTTATCAATGCTTGCACAGCCAAATTAAAGGCAATTAGTGGGATGTTACTAATGTTTGCGTTTGTCCTGTGCAAGGATCAGACCCAGCCATGGCTCATGAGAGTGGCTTGGCACATCCACTTTTAAAATCTAACTGTCACTGTTAGCCTTTTTCCTTCACAAGGCAGCATCGGTGATGATGCTTGATCTGTGCATGGACACACCACAGGCCATGCAGATGCAGAACTTTCACTGCCTCAAACCTGCAGTGATCAGGATTATCTTTGCCTCTGGCGGTGTATCATGTCTTTGTTTATGTCCCCATCCAGACCTTCCAGTGTTGGTGTTCTAGCCCTCCCTGTATGTCTCTTTATTTGTTCTGCTGTGTCGTTGCCTTTTGGCTTCTTTGTCTCTCTCTATATATTTTATCTGTCTTTCCACCTGCCTCCTGTCTGTGTCGCTCAACGTCTATGTATCTCTGTCTGATTATTTGTATCTATTTTTCCAAACAACTTTCTCCCAATATCCCACTTTCCCTCTCTCTCTCTCTGTTGTTTATCTATGTCTGCCTGAGTATAGATCACCTGAAGTATCTCTTGGTGTCTCAGTTTCTATCGCTATGTGTGTCCACGTGCCTGTCTCCCTGTATATATGTTTATATGTGCACTGTCTTCTTCTTTTCTGTCTGTCTATATCTCTATGCTCATCTCCTTTTCCCCATCTTTCTCTCTGCATCGCTGTATCCCGACATACTGTATCCCTGTCTGCCTGACAGTTTTCCACCTCTCTAAACGAAACTATGCTTATCACGTGGAAATGTATCGCGGCCAAATACTCTAAACACATGTTGATTATAAATGTGGGGGAGAAATCGGAGGAGCTGGAGAAAAATCCATGAAACCACGGGGAGAACATGCAAACTCCAAATATGTAGACATCAGGGTCAAAATCGAACCCACGACCTCCTGTATACCAGGCGAGGTGCTTAACATCTCGCCACCGTGGCTCCCCTGTCGACATCTGTGTGCCTGTTTGTCTACCCGTTTGTCCGCCTCTTTGAATATGTCATGCTCTAGCGTTGCCCCCCGTCTTACATTCTGTCCGTGTGCCGCCTGCGTTTGTGTGTGTGTGTGTGTGTCTGCCCGCCTGTGCCCCATGCTCCGGTTCTTCATGCCAGGTTCGTGTTCCGGCTCTACTGGTTCCCGCTGAAAGTGCTGTACGCCACCTGCGTCTCCAGCATGCAGACCGTGCCCGACATCCCCTTCTACTTCTTCTTCAACTGCCTCCTCTTCACCATCGCTCTCATGAATCTCTACTGGTTCTCGGTGAGCGCTTCCTTCCCAGCCATGCAATAGGTGGCTCCTCTGTACGTGAGCAGGAGGGATGCGCTCCCAATTTACAGGTTGATCTGACGAAATAAATAAAACCAGAACATCCGCCATAAAAGTTATTCGATTTCGGATTGTCCGGATAAGGCATGATTTGGGATTTAATCCGAAAAAGACGTCACAGGAAGTGACATCACTTCCATGGCATTACTGCATTGCTTTTCAACGCAAAAATTTATATCACGTCATGTCACCGTTGCTTAAAGTGTTAACATACAAAAGTGTGTATATTAAAAACGATTGTTTCACTGATGCAACTTTATGGTGAATAATATTATGCAATGATTGACATATAACTTTATGAAATGGGTTACAATTTGTACATAAACAATACATGTAATTCAAATGTAATGCATTTAAATATGGAAATTGAACATAACATCTGAATTTGGGCCTAAATATCTGATGGTACAACATCTTAATTTTTTAATGCGAAAACTCATTTCCTATTATGTATGTTCGGAGAACTCCTCCAAACCTGCTCTCCCAATTTCAGTGAATGAGGTGTGAATCGAAAGCTTGTAATACATAGTTTTTGCAAAATTAGAACTGATCATCATCAGCCATGGGTTTTCCACTGTGGATAAAAGCTTCCCCAAGACAACCACCATTATGATGGTTATCAATCATTATCATGGTTATTAATGATTGTGATTATAATAAAGCCAGTTTTAAATGGAGAAAAAAACCCTAATTGATTCTCAAGACTATTTCAATGTGGTCCTGCATTTGGGTAATTAGTGGTTGCCATATGGGAGGAAACCGAAGAAACTCACGAATATGAAAGCTGATACTCAACACTACTATCACGTAAATAATTATGTATGCATTCATAAACGAGTGGAGGAATATATTAATTAACATTTTTAAGTCATATTTTTTAAGCTTTTGTTACAGTACAGATGGCGCAATAAATGTATTTATTTACAGACTATAATTACAGTTCGCTGAAAAATATATATTGTTTGTTGAAAAGAGGTTGTCCTATGGATATACTGGCGCCCACTACAGTAATGTGGAATTTCCACCACTGGTCCAGGGTCCCGGGCAGAGGTGATCACAAGCACATGCCCAATTCACCAGGGAGAATGGAGAGTGGGTGGAACATTCGAGTACCTCTGGATAAATTGGTAGAAATAAAAATGCAGCTAAAATTCTTTCCGCTGGAAGGCGTTAAACCCAGCGTGAAGAAACACTTGGAGTGCTGTGGCAAACGGCCACGATGACATAAGCAGCTGCTGTTTGTTGTGATAACAAGAACTTTCTTCAATTGTTTTGTTAAATGTATAAACAGGCTGAAGCCCTGTGGTATATGCTGTTTCCTTTAAAGGGAGATTATAATTCAGGATCTTCTGACTTCTTGCAACAATTCCATTTGGTGTTTTAAGTGTTTGTTTTAAACGTTCGATCCGAGAGCGAATTCGAGACAAGTGGAGGCATCTCTGTGTTCAAACGAGCATCGGGGGCGGTGTTCATTTCTGTTAAAAGCCCCAAGCCCGCAGTGGAAATTTATCTTTCTCATCGTCCGACACCCAACACATATGATGACCAATGTTGATTTATATCAGAATCACAGACTTTTCACTGCACGGGGATGAATCGTGGGCCGAGCCGTGTCCCAATTTGAACTCGCAGCCTTACAAATGTGAGTCGGGCACTCCAGCCGCTATGCCAAGATATGCGATATATTTGAACGCAATCCCATTAACACCGCCGCACAGCGGCTGTTATGGCGAGCGCTGCGCAGCGCTCTCAGATGTGCCCAGTTAGCAACTTCGAAAGGCTGTGAGCAATGATGAAGCACAGCGGCCCACATTCACACTAAATCGGCCATTGGTAAACACCAGAAACAAAGCGTCACATGGGAATGCACGGCGGCAGAGAGGATCTGCACTCGACCCGCTTACCAGTGCACTTTGGCCGGACTGCAACATGTACATGTCAATCGACTGCTGGACGAAGGCCTCTTAATTGCCGTGTGGTTTGTTTTGTACAAACTTTACCGTGCTGGTAGTCGGTGCAGGATGGTGAAGGCGGGGGGAGTATAGATGTGGGAGCATTGCCCCCTTCTGCCCACTAAGTATCCCTGCAGCCTATAACAGCATGCATGGCAGTCGTCCATTTGAGCCCTATCCAGGCCCAAACCTGCTTAGCTTCCAAGGTCTGATGAGATGTGAATTGGTTGTATTCCATGGCGCATTGGGATCTACAGATGAAATGCGCCCTACCAATGTAAATTATTATATTATTATTACCGTGTGATGCACTCCTGCACAAATAGGGTTCTAAGGGAATTACAGTAATACCCCGATTTACATCGTTTTGCAAATACGTCGTCACTTTCTTCATACCGCGACCCGATTTGCGTCGCCTCAACCCCCCCACACTCACGTCGCCTGACAGCATCGTCCATCCTCTCTCGTATCCGTCGCCTCGGCCTCCGCCTCCACCTTACCCTGTCAATCACTTTGATTGACGTCGTTTCGATATTCGCCGTCGCGCCTTTCAGGAGCGCATCCCCGACGTAGACCAGGATATTTCTGTACCAAGATTGGGTGCAAATAATAATCGTACGTGAAGTTCGCCTCTAGCATGCCCTCCAGTGGGACACTTGGGCAACTGTTGTTTCAGTTTGTACAAGTGTCCTACTTATTTTAATGTAGTCTTTTTTTATTATTCCCACAATATTTCTCTATTTGGTATCAAGAATGTATTATTCTGTTGTCCATTTAGGTGGCACCGTTGCTTAGAGCACTACTCGCAGTCTGAAGGTTTGTGAGTTACAATCGCTGTCGGGGAATGCACTCAGGTTGTCGTCATCGGATGGTCATTGTAGGCTATGACTGGTCCTTGCCACGGCAATGTAGAATCCAGTGGCTTGTGGCCACCAACATACATCAGCACTGCCTCACGTTCATATCAACAGGGAAATGCATCGACCCGACTTGACACTCAACATCTTTTAAATTCAGTTTAACACGTAGGCTTTTGTGACCAATATCATCCGTAATAGAGTTTTTTTTGGGTTAGATCGCCTAAATATATAAATGTGTCGTTAAAACCCGCCACCACCCGACAAAGCCAACTAGTAAGGTTGTCACGTAAACAGAACGTGGTCAATTCGTCAGTAGTACAGCACACCGGTGTAGTGTATAATGTAGTGTATAGTGTAGTATACTAGTACAGCACACCGGTGTGTTGGAGAGCCAAGCCACAACATTTACAATCTGAGTACGACGTTTCGCCAGTAATTACAACTAGCTTCATCAGGCGACAGCCAGATTTGTGGAGAAGTCTTACTCTTTCGTTCCTTATATAGAGGCGTAGATGTGGTGTAACCACGATTCTGCGCTCTTGTGCAAAGTGGGGGGGGGGAGGAGGAGGGGGATCAATGAGTCAACGTACATTATGCATGTTCTCTTTTCTCAACTCTTTCCTTGCCCTGTACCTCCCTCCCCTCCTCTTTACTGTTACCCAACCCTCTCTTCCCTGCATCCCCTCTCTCTGTCGCCAATGTCCAGCTCATCCTGATGTTTGTGATGAAAGTGGTGACCGGGCGGATCACTGAGGTGGACGACGTGCGCGAGTACGACATCGAGTTGAAGAAGGCCGAGATGAGACCTGCAGCCGGTGACGCATCCAACAAGAATCACTACGTCAAAGGGTGAGTCACCGCCGAGATATCCACCACAGACAAAGATTCCCTCGTGTAGCCTTAACAGACTAGTTGGAGAATGTGCTCTTTGGTTCTTTCGGTAAAGTCACGTATAAAGATAAAATAATAAATTAAATAATCCCGTTTCTATTTTATCTTTATACGGAACTTTACCGAAAGAACCAAAGAGTAATTCCTGCAGTCACGAAAGCTCCAAATTTAAGATCGGGGCAAGTGCTGTTAGTGACCACCTAATGAAGGCCGGCACGGCGCACGAGGGCGGTGGGTGGCCAGCAGCACGCCCGGCCGCCTTTGTCTCCCTCGTGGCCATGTTTACACATTGCACCAAGTACTCATTCCAGGCTGAGTCCACCTAGGGGAGGCCCAGGACTGGTTCAAATAATCAGCACTGGTATTGGCCGTGAGTGGGAATTGAACTCGGGTCGCTGGGTTCGTAGTGCAGCCCGCTAACTCCTACACTACTTCTCCCCACGAGATAACCACCATCACCACCAACAAGAGAAACAACAAAACATTCCTGATGACAAAAAAACCCAATCATTTACAGCCCTTCGTCAAGTCATTGCAGGATGAAGGGCACACCCTATACTCTGTCAGTCACGGGGGGGGGGGCTGTTTTGACCAAACTTTACCATACTGGTCGGAGCATGTTGGTGAAGAGGCTGTGGGGTTTCAGGACTGGTTTATTAACGGTGACGTGAGTCATGACTCGCATCCCATGGCGCACCGGTGCATAGGACATTGCACGAGCCACTGCAACCACCCCTTGAGCATATGTGCACTTTTTTATATATACAGTAAAACCTTGGATTGCGAGTAACTTGATCTGCGAGTGTTTTGCAAGATGAGCAAACATTTTAAATACATATTAATTTGATAAACAAGCGAGGTCTTGCAATACGAGTAACACGAGTATACACTTTGTCTGCTGAGCGTCACGTGATCACAACTGATATACGAGTGCTTTGATATACGAGTGCTTTGGATTACAAACACGTTTCCGGAACGAATTATGCTCGCAATCCAAGGTTTTACTGTACAGAATAATCACTGGTTTATTAAGAAATGAAAATAAATAAGCCATTGCTATCTTTTACAGTCCTGCAGTCCAACAACTCGAAAGAAGTTCACAATGCATTCATACACAAGCTCCATCTCCTAAGTGGATGTATGTTGTCCTTTGGCTCGAAGTCATAGAAGCGTGGAATTTCCACCACTGGCTAATGCTCATTTAGTGAGCAGAGGGGCTCTTTAGAAAGTATTTGCATGTATATTATACTTAATACTACTCGAATCAGATAATATTGAACATATTTAAAAGGCGGTGAGCCTATTGAAAAATAAATTCCTGGAATGTTTTTATATCAATTTCTCGGAGCAGATTGAGTTATGAAATAAAATGACATCTGCTCTGCATCTCCACATCGAAATAAAACATTACTTTAGTTGATCTGCTGACTGGTATTTTAGACTTAAATCCATGTATTGAAATATAATATAAAGGGTAACAGATGTGGAGCAATGGTGCAGCAGTTTAACACACTGCACTTTGAACATGGTAATTTGGGTTCGATTCCCTGCCACAGCTAGCATAAGTATCTAAACCAGTCCTGGGCCCCCCTATAACAACCGGCATTGACTGGTACGAAGCAGTACAGTCAAACAATCGCCATTGACTGACACAGAATGGGAAGGCCTTCATCCAGCAGTGGATAAACAAAGGCTTGAAGATGAAAGCAGACTATTATTATTATTTTTTGTTTTTATTATTTCCAATTCATAAAATGTATTTTTTATGTTATTTGTATTAGTTTAATGGGAAAGTTAGTTTATTATTTTATATATATTTTTTAGATGCGTTGGCAGTGGTGCATAAGCACAATTAACAACAACACTCAATGCACTTGCCAAAGATTTTCCCTTAAAATATATACATAATCATCGACTTTACGGATGTGCTATAAATAAGGGTCATTGCCCGAAGCGTTGCCGATTAAACGTCTCTCTTTTTAAAGCAGTGTTATTGGCGAGTGTGTTGAGTTTCATATCAAAGTTCAGCCCCATTGCATACGCCGCAGTTTATGAGGATTTAAAATTCAAAAAATGTGTCTGTAACAGTTTAATGCAATCCCAAACCAACTCTCAGCCTTGTGAAGAAAGTGGATGTATGTTGAACTTCTTTCGAACCGTATGTAGCCAACCGTGCTAATTGGAGGTGCGGGGGCCGGTACTGTGTATGTTTGGCCTTGGTAGGGTGGGATCGTATTATTCTATGGTTCTTTCGGTAAAGTCACGTATAAAGAAAAAATAATAAATTAAATAATAGCATACGACGTTTCGATTGCAACACAAGCAATCATCATCAGGTATAATGAAATAGCGACATAAAATCTAACCAGAAAAAATTATAGACAGACATATAAGCAGACAGATATCACCAAGATACACACAGCGGGCAACACAGGTACAGAGAGGGGTGATCGTCTCTGTGATGAATGATGGACTGAGTCTAACTTCAACTCGCACTTTCTAATACTGCAACACTATCCCTTTGTTAGGTCGTGCAAGCCTTAATAGGATGCTTGCTCACATGAAGTTGCCTGAACAATCACTGAAGATAAATGTTCGACCTGTTTGTGCTTTGCCTTTACCAATTCAGGAAAGTCGCACAGATGAACGGGTTGGTGAAGGACAAGCGACAGTGATGGACGAACAGTGTGTCCACCGTCATCGCAAGGGTGGCTCCTGTCTCCTGCTCGAGCTTATTATTTTTGACAAATTATCTTGCATCGGTCAGGCTCGTCGCAGCTCTGCGTGACTGTTGTGAGTGAACCGTGCCTAGTGGCGGTTGTTAATTTCCACGCGTGTTCCAGTGTCGGGCGAGTTGTGTTTAAGGAAAATTGCTCAAACGTTTTAAAGAGACGGACAACAAAAATTCAAAAGACTAAACAAACAAAGCTAACGAATACAATTTTAGATATGCATTGGTTGTATGTAATTGTGTTTTTTTTACACTTTCATGTGGCATGAGCATAATTTGGTTAGATGGTGGTATGGTCATTTTTTTAATCAGTTATGCTTCATATTAAGCCCAGTGCTTGTACTTACCTCATGTTGTATTTTTTTTTGTCATACAACTCCTCCTTTCAGACCATTCGGTGTTGCTTTTAAACGTCTTACTAAATCTCTACGATGAAATTCAAAGTCTTGTGATAGATATATGGCGATTATGCAATAGTTATGGGGAACATGTCAACCACTGCCATTCATTCCTAATTTTTTCACTCTTGGTTAACATTTTATCTTCAGAAAAAAAAGAATCAGCCATATGATAATACGTTCTTAATCTTATAATATTGTTTTAGACTCACCTAATCGAGTTGTGTGCTGCTGGCAGTTTTCGAATTGAGAGTGTAATTTGGAAGTCACATGTGTGCATCTTGCAAGAAGCAACACAAAATCTTAAACACAGGGCATTAAGGGGCACAAATTTGCTATCTCATAACACGATGCGATTACAGATATTTACAAATTTTAGACACAACGTTTTATTTCAGTCCTACCAACTGGGTTTGACACAATGCCCAGGCCTTATTAGATTATGGTGGAGCCTCTTTGAGCCTATGCTGTGGCAATTGGCACATGCACTGTGTGAGCACAAACCAGCGCAAATGACCTCACCGAACGTTGAGGTGCACTCGGGGTTGTGAAGCTGACGGGTGGTTCAGGGAGCTAAAGCCCAGGGTTACAGCACCGAGTCACCGCCGTCGAGAACTTGAGTTCGAATTCAAATCGGCCACTTGCGATTAAATCAGGTCCCCCAAGTGTAGCAAGTTTTGTGATCTTAGCCTGGTCACCAATAACTGTATAAAAAAACTTTTGTGTCATATTTGGTTGTTCACTTAATTTGGCACATCCAAGCACTGAGGGCTGAAATGTATAAATGTACCGAATGTTTGACATGTGGCAAAAAAAAAATACTCCTCGGAGAGCATGAAGGAGTGCCATTCAGTGTTGGGTAAGAGAGGCCTTTTGAGGTGACCTCAGAAGTAGTTCTGTAGTGTCATCTTGCGGGGCCGTTCCCTGGCACCATGTGAACCTATGCTGACCGCATGACATGGCTCTTATGAAAGTAAATGGTCATATAAGTAATGTATACAGTATATATATATGACATTTCTGTTGATGATAAATGAGGAACCGTTACCAGACTTTGTATCTGGTCTCCTCTAACGTAGCTGTGTTAACCGCTTTAAATTGAGCACCAATGGAATGTGTGCCCATGAAAACATTTTTTGTTATCCACTCTGTGGGTTTCCACATGGGTTCGTTTAGCGCTCGAGGATTTTTCTCGGGGCAGTCCGGCTTCCTCCTACATGCGAAACAATATTCAATAAGAAATTGTCCAAACATCTCAATGCTTAACCCTCCTATAAAATGTAACCTTCAGAGGCTCAGTGAGTCTTTCCTGGTAGAAGAAAACATTCGATAACATTACATTCTAATTAATTTCCCACAAAGTTAAAACATGCATTCACAATACTTATGGTATTTGTGCAGTTGTGCGGTGTACATTGATAGTTATCTTGTGCATGTCCCCTTCATTAATTCTTGTTGCATTCAACAGAAATGTGAACGAAGGGGGGGGGGGGTATTTTAGGTTAGAGGCTGTAACTGGAATAATATTTGCACGGGAATTGGCCATAAGCAGGCATGTGTGAGAACACAGACACGTGCTCATGTGTAGGAGCCGCGTTGACAACAGTAAATAAATGTCGCGCAGCGGTTGGACTGGAGCCAGGACAGCAATGCGCTCGTTTGGTGGAAGAGAATTTAAAAAATTATGTAGCAAGGAAGGGTCGCCCCGAGTCGCCGCCGCCGCAACACAAGAGACTGCTTTGCACAAACAGGATCCCAGATCTCCCAATCCCCGAACCGTCGAGCAAAAGGAAACATTCTCATGAGGCTTTTTTTTTGTAAACTTTACCGTCGTTGCACATGCCTGACGCGTCGGGAAAAATTGTAACTCGTGCGGTTTTTCATTAACGAGGCGAGTCATGCTGTCATCACTCGAGCTATATTCAAGCATTCTTATTAATCATTGTACAACTAAGAGAAATGCGCTCACCTGTTTTTGCATGTTATTAAGTAGCAACAAATGATAAATGACCTATTTTTTTTCCTTCTCGTTTTATTTGTACTACCATAAATGTCTAATTTATAAATGTGCAGCGGGTAGTAATTGTTTTTGAATTAAATTATTGTCAACGTAATTTTTTTTGAGACAATTGTAAGAAAATGCAATTCAAATGAATGTCGGGGTGTCGTTTTGTTTGTGTGTAGTTTGGAAAGCCCTTTTTTCTGAGCGATGAGAAGTGTTCCTTTTAGTTAAAAATATCCTTTCCTCACAGCGTGCTGCCTTCCTCACTCTTACATCCGTGGTCACAGGCAAACGAACACCTGGGGATACCGAAGTCCTGTTCCCTGAAATATCAGTGCTTCAGGCACTGATGCAAACAAGGACACCAACTCAGGACCTCGCTCAGTAACAGGGGGCACTGGCGGGTGTCGGAGGCGTCCGCACACACACAATGTCTGGACATGGCTATGGCGAGACACCCACAATCATTTCAACAAGTGGTATTTTTTGAGTCTGCGTTTTCTCTATTTCAGCAGTTGACATGCTGATGATGAAACATTTAAATACACAGTAGCGCACAAGCAGTTAGGCTCGGTTCCTAGCCAGCAGCCAGTTGGATTATAATTCAGGAGAACGCTTCCCGGTGGAGGACTCCGTGGATAATTTATGTAATGTAACCAATAACCACCTGTGCCCATGTGCTGGCTGGACACCACCGACTTCCAAAGTGTGGCTGTGCCCCAGCTCGGTAGCCACAGTGTGTGCCGGTGTGTGTGTGCGTACGAGTGTGTCGAATCGGCTTCATCTGGTGCACTAAGGAGACAAAGGTGGCCGGGCTTGGTGCTGACCACCCACCCCCCTCGTGTGCCGTGCTGACCCGTTCATAGGTGCTTGCAAACAGCACTTGCTCCAACAGTCAAGGCTATATGGGGGGGGGGGGGGGTCTTTGTATGGGTGTATGCGAGCATGTTTTTACCCCGTCAATGCCAGCTTCACTCTGGCAGCTTTGGAGCCATGTGTATGGCCATGATTGTGGCCTTATCACTTGAAACAGATTGCTGTAGCAAGAGCACAATTTTATTCAGCTTGTGCTTTTTTTGAAAAGTGTTCAACTGTATGAAGCCAGTTGCACTGTGGAGCGACTTGTCTTTATGTTTGCAATCAAGGCTGACATTAAATACACAACGTGCTTTCGAATGTGAACTTTATAATCCAGAACTTTAGCAATAACACCTGTAAGGTTATTTAAGAATTTAAAAAAAAATTTTGATTCACGTATATCTCCAATACACGTATTCCAAAATAATGCCGTCATATTTCAAGCATAAATTTCAGCATGTGGGCATTAGACATCAGTACATTGAGAACATAATAGACCTGATGATGGAAACTGTCTGATGATGGAAACTGTCAATTGAACAACCCTATCATCAGGGTTGTTCAATTGCGGTCATGCACGTCACATTACACAAAAAGTGCTTGCAACAAATGAACCACAATACCTTGCTCGTCTTGTCAAGAAACCATAAACCATCACAAACTCCGGTCATCCTCGCAGCGCCCTTTGGCTAGCCATCGGACAAAGATGGTCACTGCATCGCGCACTTTCAAATGCACTTCTGTGGCCGTCCGGAACACTCTTCCGATATTAGGAAGTCACTGGTGCTACACACTTTAGAACTGCTCTCTGTGTTTAGTTGTCCTTTCCGCACACCTCTGATCAGCACGGTTGCCTACATACGGTGCGAAAGAAGTTCAACATTCAACACCGCTTTCAGTGAGTATGCTTTAACTGATGACATTGCTCTTCTTGCCCGACTGCAAACCCTTACAACCCATTGACAGCACGCTGCGAGACATACCGTATGAAGCCAGTGCAAAAATACCAACAAAGAAATCGACCTGGGCGTCGTATAATTTGTGATGTGGACATGAAAAAATTTACTTTCAATTATACAATCGCAAGAGTCCAAGTGTTTTCCTCCTTAAATGAGCAATGATTGGTTGCATTCAGATTTTTGAGCCAGTGGTGCAAATCCCAATTGTTCTGGTGAGCGCCAGTTTTTTTCGTAGGATCACAATTGTCGCCTTGCTACAAGGTGATACTCATTGTCCTCGAATGAACTCTCAACCAGGATTGGAACTTACAGCCTTCCATCCGTAACTTCATTCGTCTATCACAGCACTGTCCGGCCAGATATGTCTTCATATGTTACATGCTATTGTAATATATGATGTAAGAGTGACAATGTAATGCTTTGTAATTGAGATACGTCTTTAGTGTGTTGCACGGCTTCACACTTCAGTTGCCACCGCATTGCAAGTCTAGTCAAGTCGGTACATAAATGATCAACTCCAAACTGTGCAGAGACGCGCTCCCGTTAATTATTTTGCATTACTCTTAAACCACAAAACATCCCACTACAAGTATTGCACACCAGCTGCAGCGGGGTTCCGACTTCTGCTGTTTCGCACGTCTGCTAACATCTTCTTGGTTCTTTCGGTAAAGTCACGTAGAAGGGAAATAATAAAAATAAAATAATTCTCACGACGTTTCGGCCACAACTCAAGCAGCCGTCCTCAGGTGAAGAACAGGTCTGTCGGAAAGACAGCGTCTAAATGGGCACCATCAGGCTTGGCAGCGTATATTTAAGCTGGGTTGGGGGGGAAGAGCGCCTTGACAAAGGAATTTGCATATCAAGAGGAATTTATCATATTTATGGGAAATGCAGATATGGAATTATTTTATGTTTTATTTTTATTATTTGATTATTTCCCTTCTACGTGACTTTACCGAAAGAACCAAGAAGATGAATCCCTGCAGTCACGAAAGCTTTAAATCGTCTGCTAACAGTAATGCAAAAAACGTGTCAGCCTCTCGTCCCCATTTGTAGGAACGACGCCTCCCCCGTGCCATGCTGGTCACGGTGGTTTTTAACAATTTGACCCGAGTTCGATTCCCGCTCACGGCCAACAACAGTGATAGCGATCATCTGAACCGGTCCTGGGCTCCCCCTAGATCGACTCGGCCTCAAATGAGTACCTGGTGCAGTGTGTATACATCACCACTAGTGAGACAAAGGCGGCCGGGCGTGGCATTGGCCACCCACCCCTCTCGTGTGCAGGCACTCACTAACGGCACTTTCCCCAACAGTCTGTGAAGGCGAGACGGGAGATCTTTGCGTGGGTTGGTGAAGGGGGACCCCATCAGCACTGAGTGTGATAGCACTCGCCACTGATGGTAGCCGTGGCTGAAAAGGCTGAGGTTGCCAGCTTCTTGGTTCTTTATAATAATAATAAAATACAATTAAAATACAATTTATTATTTCCCTTCTACGTGACTTTACCGAAAGAACCAAGAAGATGAATCCCTGCAATCACGAAAGCTTTAAATCGATATTTGAGGTTGCCACGTTCACAGCACAGTGCGCAATCAACCAAATCACTGCTCAACCCCCACGCGAACAGTGATACCCTTTAAATAACAATTCCGTTTTGGTTTGTTATTATTATGAATGGGTGTTTTAACCCAATTAAAACTGGAAAATGTTCTTTTCACGGTTGAGGAGGCAATGCCTCCCCTACCTGACCTGTGAAGTCACCACTTAGTCACTCGGAGTCGATCATTGTGGACGTGTTTGAACCCACGACTCTCTCTCTCTTCCCTCCCGGGCCCTCCATGAGGACCCAGTGTGGGGCACACGTTGCGGTGGAGCGAGGGTCACGTGCGCTGCTTCAGTGTTACCCTCTGCATGCATCAATCCGCTTTTGCATGCCATCCCTGATTGAACATGTGTTTTAAGATATAAGAGTTCTTGACTTGAGAGGGGAGGCTATTTGGAATTTTAACACGGTATGTATTTCATAATAAAGGTTGTTTTTGGGGTTAGATTGCGTTATTTATAAATGTGTCGTAACCCTCCAACACCCGACACGGCCAAACAGTAAAAAATGTGCCACGTTTGCAAAAGACAAATAGTTCACTACTTTAGCCCACCGGTGTGTTAAGACTGGGAGCAAGTGGAGGGCTTCACCATTCTGGCAAATTGCCCGATGATGCTGGATGTAATTGCCAGCGAAACGTCGTACTCCAAAATTGTAAATGATGTTGATTCACTCTTCAACACACCAGTGGGCTAAAGTAGTGAACTATTTGTCTTTTGTCAACGTAACACATTTTTTTACTGATTGGCCGTGTCGGGTGGTGGAGGGTTACGACACATTTATAAATAAGGCGATATAACCCAAAACACCTTTATTATGAATAATATTGGTCGCGAAAGCTTACGTGTTAAACTGACAGTATATATTGTAATGAAAGAGCATTTACACCCACGGCTTAACTTCTCAATCAGTATTTTCTGGAATGCTGCTAGGTTGGCTTGGAGTAAGGATTATAGCACAAGGCACTACCACTACAACCAGGGCTTAATATCTCTATATTCTGGAACGCTGCTAGGATGGGTTGGAGTAAGAATTATAGGCATACGGCACTACAACATTATTATCCTCTATATTCCCATGACGTAACAATAATAAACACCTCCGCACTATCACGAAGACAATATAAGGCAAGAGATTTGGTGCACTAAACGGATTCAAGGCAGGGGCGGTTTGTTCATTAGGGCGATTGGGCGACGCACCACCAATGTCATTCAACCACAGAGTCACGCTAGCCGTCACTGTCAGCCTCTGGATATAGTCCAATCAGCGTCATGTCACGTTCTGTGGAGTACCGCCTCTTTTTGGGCGATTTCACTACGGCTGAGAATCGCCCCGAGTGGCCCCATAGACTTACATTCAAAGATGTTTTTTTCGAACGGGGGCGCTCCAATGCATTCTCTATGGCTTCCCGGAGGGCTCGCCCTAACGTGCTTACGTCATCATACGTGCTAACGTCATCATACGTAAGCACGTTTCATCCAACAATATAATTTATCGCTACCTAGTGGAATCTTTAATAAAATAAACTTGAGTGGTTTGTTTTAATAGTGAGTATATAAACAAACAAGATGTATTGTAAGAGTCACTTTATTTTTCATTAATATTAAAGAAATGAAGTTGCCTTTACATGCTTAAGCTGTTAATTTATTCATTGCATGGGTGGACCTTATCCTTATCAATCATCCAGACATTTGCCCCCCCTGAGAGATTTTGCAGGAGCCGCCACTGATTCAAGGGACATGATTCTGGCTGAC